CTCCTTGGTGAAGTGTCTATTCATGTCTTCTGCCCATTTTTCAATTGGATTGTTAATTCCTTTGGTGTTGAGGCATTGGAGTTTTCCATCAGTCTTAGAGATAAGTCCTTTGCTAGATGTGTAATTATCAACAAATATGAATTTATGGCTGTCATTTTTGTCATGTCCTTTTTCATTGTGTCGATTTCTGTGTTCCATATAATTTTCTATGCTGAGTTCATTTTGTTTGTGAATCATGTTATCACTTCCTTCATTGCTATTGTTTTAGTATTTGTTGAATATTTATTCTTGTCCTCTTTTTTATTTTGATGTGAAGGTTTATCATTTTTCTTTGAGGTTACCCTGTGATTTATAATTGTCTTCCCAAGTTTAGAACAGTCCATTCTATCTTGTAGTTGTCTTGACTTCCCTACCATCTAGGAGTTCTGTAACAACACAGCTTTTTTTCCCTCTTTTTCGTTAGTAGTTGTCCTCACTTGCCAATTGATGTCTCTGGTTCCCTGTTTACAATCTTGTAGGCTTATTTACTTTGGATACTTCCATAGCTGGGTTGGTTTCTGGGTTATATCATCATGTGTATTAATGGTCAGTTGTTGGCTGTTATTGCTTCTCTGTTCAAAGGGCTCCCTTTAGCATTGCTTGTAAGGTTGGTCTCATTTTAACAAATTCCCTAAATTTCTGCTTATCTGGCAATGTCCTAATTTCACCATCATATTTGAGGGACAATTTTGCTGGGTACATAATTCTTGGTTGGGAATTTTTCTCTTTCAGTGTTTTATATATTCAATCCCACTGTCTTCTTGCCTGCATGGTTTCTGTTGAGAAATTCAAGCTTAGTCTTATTGTTTGCCCCTTGTAGGTAACTTTTCGTTTTTCCTGTGCTGCTCTCATGGTTCTTTCTTTGTTTTTTGGCTTTGATGAGTTTGGTGATGATATGTCTTGGTGTTTTTCTTTTGGGGTCTATACTGTTTGGGGTTCATTGGACTTCCTGAGTGGATGTATTCTTATCTTTCATCACATCAGGGAAGTTCTCATCCAACAAATCTTGGACAATTTTCTCAGTGGTTTTATTTGTCTCTTCCTGTTCTGGAATTCCAATGACACATAGGTATCCCACATGAACCTTAGGCTTTCTTCATTTTGGTTTGATCTCTTTTTCTGATTGATCCCTTTCCAAAGAAGTATTCAGGTATTTGTCTTCAATCTTGTTAATTCTGTCTTCAATTGCATCAATTCTACTCCTTTGCCCTTTCAATGTGTTATCTATTTCTGATAATTTATTATTAATCTTCTGGATTTCTATCTGCAGATTTAGAATCATTTCCAATTTTTCATTTATTTTGTTCTTGCGTTTTCTTCTGAAATTCTTCTAGGGTTTTGTCTGCATTTTCCTTGGTCTGTCTCTCAATCCTTTGAAGATACCTAAATATAACTCTTTTAAATTCCTTATCAGGGAGTTCTGGTGCTGCGTCTTCTTCAGTGATGCATTTTGGGTCTATATCCTGATCCCTTGTTTCTCCTGCTTTATCTTGCTTCTTTGTGTGTACTGTGATGGTCTGTTGTCCCCGAGGCATTGTGACATTTTTGTGTTTATATTTAATTGGTGATTATATGTTGGAGTGACTTGCCCACAATTTTTATTTTCTTTGTTTTGTTTGTATGTTATCTATACAGGCAGGGTACTGTGCTGTGCTCCTCTATTCACTAGTTGACAGCACTTATACACTCACCACCTGTCTCCTTTCCCTTGTCAGCCTCTTGTATGTCCTTTCCGACCCTGGCAAACAGAGCCTGTTCTTTGGTCCTGTTTTCATGAAGGTTTTTCCACTAGTTGGTGCCTAATCCACTTCTGTATAGTTCCTTTCAAAGATCAGTGTTGCAGGATTATCTTCTGTATCTCTGTCAACTGTTTTTTTTTTTTTTTCTCTTTGTTGAAGAGGGTCTGTGTGCCTATTGTGTACGCTTGTCTGCCTATTCCTCCATCTTACTGGAAGTCCTCTCTGCTATGTTTTAAGCTTTAGTAAGCATGACAAATGTCTGTATTTTGTACTTGAATAAAGTGCTGTAGATAGTATTTTAAGATAATAAAACTTCTGTGTTGAAATGAGCATTTCATAGCATGGTGGTCATTGGAAGATGAAGGGCTTAGTTCCGTGATGGGCCGCTGAGAGAAGCTGGAGAGCTTTGCTTCTGGAACTGCTTTGAGAGTCAGAATACGAGGCACTCAGAAAAGCAGTCTGACTGCTCTATGATCTTTTTGACAAGAAGAAA